TATCCACGTGCAGAATTCAGAACACACCCACTGAAGACACCCACTAGCAATCTTTCCTTTTGAATTTTCCTCAAGTTCATGGACGGATTATTCGAGAAACCCGGCTTTCAACGGAAACCCTACCTTTCGTGGAAATCTTTCAAATGTCTAATCGGAAACCCCCGGCCATCAGTCGGGTGGAGGTATTATTCCGGATCAACCAAGCTTAGACATACAACACGTCACGTTCACCACCATTTCCTTTCTAGCATCCCTCTCGACGTGTCTGCCCCATTGAATCCTGGCCCAAGAGATAACAGTCACAGTTCACCTACTACTCCACCGTGATTGTTCCCAAGCCATTTGGGCAATCACTGTCCGCATTCTGTTCAGGTGAGTGTTGTTGACCACTTCATTGGACCTGGGTACCTGCAAGATCACGGAGTTTCCATGAAAACACTAAGGCCCTGCATCCATAACTCTGAGCTTAATTGCTGGTGGGATTTTCTTTTCATTTTGCTTCTGCTTCATTCGACTTTCTTAGTCAGGTACCTGTATGAATACTCCACTGTTGCTTGCACATTTAGCAATCTTGAGCTGCTTATCTTGCACATTGAGCACATATGTGGTGGCCCTTCATGCATCCAAGCTTGGATCATGCCAATTTTGAAAATTTAAGCAGACACTGAGCCGGATGCTCAGGCACCGTTGGCGCACCGTGCAAAAAGCATTTATTTCTTGATGATCCCAGGCGAAAAATCCCGCATCTTCACAACAGAACCAAGGCTGTGAGTGTTTGTATTGCAGTCTGTCTAATGGTTTAATTGCTGACATGGGTCCAAGACCAGTAGTGCATGAAAGTTAGTTCTTTAACCGAGAGCACCAGGAAAATTACTCTTCAATGATGTTTCATTCCCCCTCCCCCTTCCTATGGTACTCAACCCCTCATCATTCAACACGCTATTCAGCCACCTTTTTGGGTGAAATTACATTCAAACAGTTTGGGCAAATTGTTTATTGCAGCATGCAAAAAGGATGTAAACACAGCAGGTGGGGATTGAATGTAGAAGAGAGGGAAAGTCAATTAAAGGATTTGAAGTGTTGACTCCCCATCGCCGACCTTGAACAGAGAAGGCAATTTCAAATGAATAGAGACTAACATAGGTATTACAGAACCTCAACGAAACTTGGTGGAGCTCGCTTAGGATTTGACAAACACGGTTGGTATGTCATGTGATCGCGTCCCGGCCGCTGCCTCGGACCCGTCCCGGAGAGCACCCCATGAAAACCGGGTTTCCAAATAGCACATATTTTTTTGATGGGGTTTCCATTGAAAACCGGGTTTCTCAGTAGAATAATCCTTCGTGGACCGCTTGCGACGTTGCGACGAGCTCACTGCAGAAACAGGCCGATTAGCCCTTGCAATCCTCCCGGGCGCTTATCCACTGACTACATTGCGTCAAGTCCTACGCTTGAAATTTCGAAAGCCGGTCCCGTAGTGCATGCAGTTCTCGACACAGCGAGCCCGCCGTACCAGATGAGACGAGAGGCGCGCCGGAGCTCAGAGCGCAGCTGGGGCCGAGCCGGGGAGCGCGCAAAGGAGTGTCGCATCCAGAACCATGAGGAATGGACGCGCGGGCACACATGCGGATCGGCGTCGGAGCGTGGGGTGGTACAGTGCGCCTAGATTCGTGTGCGCGCACAGGGGCCTGTGTCGAGCGTGAGATGCGATGTAGATGTGGACCGGCAGATGGACTGCGGGAGGTTGCAAGAACGAGCAGCGAGCGCGGGTGCTGGATAGGAAAAGAGCCCACTAGTAGAAGGGGGACAAATGAATGGACCTCTGGGCCGAAGGAGACGAAAAGTGATGCACCAGTTAAGATTTCTTGTCCAAGTCCGTCGGCGTGGTTCGCGAGTAGTAGGTGACTTTCATGGTGCCGAATCTTCAAGCACTGGAGGGAGAAAGCAAACACATCCCGACAAAGAAACAGTCATAATAAAGGGAAGTCCGCGAGACAGTGATATCATGAGAGTCCGGGAATCCTGGGCCTATAACGGCGTAACATACGTGGCCCTTCATTCTTGGGCGCAACTGTGGCAGATTCGTAGCTATAGGAGTTCTGCCTATTCCAGCAAGGGAAATCATTTGAGACTGATGCACGCGGAATTTGAACGGACAGAGCACAAGTATCAAAGTAAGCCTGGAAGCGGTTGGATTGCTCGGTCAAGTTGTCGTGGATCCGGAAGAGGAGGATCCGCATTCCGATCATCGGCGTCCGGCCGCGTTCGCCCGAAACTTCCGAGTCACTCTCTCAGATCACATATCAGCTTTCACCCAGACTCTCGCTCTCATCGGGCTTCTTGCACACAAAAAAAAACTGCTACACCTTTGTCTTGTTCTCCTCTCGGACAAGTTGTCCCGATCCGAGATCCAGCACCTGCGACTGTTTTGTCTCGAATTTAGTCTCCAGCCTGTCTCTGAAGCGGCGGACACCGACTCTGAGTCGGACGCGCATTTGCTGTGCCTCATCGTGCGCTGCCTGTTCCCACTGGCGGACACATCTTAGCTGCCGGATCCTGTCGACTTACGTATCGTCAAGCTCGCCCGCCCCCCCGTCTCTCCCACGAAAACATCCCGAATCGCATCGCATGTCGTCGACTTCCCGCACGTCCTCGGGTCACTGTGACTCCTCGCAAGGGTCGCGCTCCTCGTGAGGATGCTGAGCCTCCCACTTGTTACCGCCAAAATGTCGGCGTAGATAGCGCCAAAAAGCCTCCCCGCCGCGGAGAAGCGCAAGAGCGGGAAGAGGGGGTTGTTGTGAGGAGAGGGAGAGAAAGTGGGCGTGGAGGCGCCGCTATGCTTGCGAGCCGGTAGCATGGCGCAGATTATTGTGAGTCGGCATGTGCGTGGTTTTTTTTGTTCTCCCTTCTTTTCGTTCCCGTTTCTTTCTGGTATTTTTTTTTTTTTCGATATCTTTTGGAGGGACATATCCATCCACACATGCCAACTCTCCATCGTCTCCCTTGCATTCCCCGTGTCGCCACACCTATCTCTCGCGCCACGTCACCCTCCCACTTCCCGCTCCACAGTCCACACGGCCCATCCATTCATCACCTTCTCACTGCACCATCTCACTTGGATACAATCTCCGCGCTCTCGTTCTACCTTTCCCAGTCCTTCCCATCTGTCTTAAACGTCGTCGTTACCACCTTCCATCTTATCTTCTCGTTCTCGTATATCCGTGTTCCGTGGCCCTCGTATCTGACTCCCATACTGACGTCGTTTCCCCTCACAGAGATGCCGCCTCCCTGTCGCCGCCCGCTCCAAGGCGCGCCGCACCAATTTCATCATGCCCGCCATAGCCGTGATTACCGAAAAAGGAACGAAATCAAAAGAAAAAATATATGCGATCTATCCAACGAACGAACAAGTATTATTTGCGTTCCCCGGTGCCGCCTCGAAGGGTGGGCGGTATGATGCGCGGTGTCAAGCGGCGCCGGCGGAGGGTGGAGTCGGGTGGAGCCAGCGGTGGGATGCGATCGGCGTCCGGTGGGTCGGTGGAAGCGAGTGCGGGTAGTTCGCGTCGAGCGTCGAGCGAGGGCGGGTGGCTTTTTTTGTTATGATCTGCGAAGAGAAGGAGACTCCTTCCCGGCGGGCTGGACTTTCCCACCCAGGTCGTGCAGAAAAATCGATTCTGTGTTGTCTTTTCGTCTCCGTCTTTGGTGTCGCTGGATAATGTCCCTTTTATTAGATCTCCATGCAATCGAATTTCAAACAGACCCTAGCAAGCAGTGTGGTGTAAGAATGCACACGGGGCTCCAATAAAGGTAATATTTAACTTTCTCGCATTCTGTCCCGCTTTGAGTATTTTTATAACAGATCACGCACCGCACAGTTTTCAAAATTGAACGATATTAACCCCGAGGTCCTTGTTCGAATCAAGGTACTGCTCTGATCCACCCATCTATGTTACTATTTTTCTCCAGCAGAAATGATGTTTGGTTTCCGAAATTACATTTTGTCCTGTATCTGATGAGCTTGGAAAGAGAGGGAAGGAAATCCTATGGTGTAAGAATGCACACGGGCCTTCATGACACGGAAAAATTTCACCCCAACGTCTGTTCGAAGCGAGTGGGACGATGAGGCCCCGCGCCACAGCAACGGTGCAGCGGGTACTTCGTTCGGTGCGGGGAACCAAGGGGGAGGAGGATCGAGGGATCAGGATGTTTGCTACAAGGTACGTCGACCAACTCAAAATCGTCGAGTGCAATTTGCCTGGTCACTGGGCCAATATTATGGTGGGTCCTTGATCCAGTCAATCAAGGTTCTACTCTGATCTGCTGCTCTCGCTCAACCCCTTCCATTTTTCCTCCTCGGACGGGTATAATCGAGTTCAAAACACGGCCAGGGAAGCAGTGTGGTGTAATGCTGCACACGGGGAATTATTTGAAGATTGCAAATATCCACCCCGAGGTCCTTGTTCGAATCAAGGTACTGCTCCACCAGTGGTGATGCGTCGGTTTTTTTCTTCCTTGTGACCGATCCAAATATTTGGACGCATAATTGAATCAAAACAGAGTCAGCAAAGCAGTATGGTGTCGGAATGCACACAGAGTGTCGGTTACAAGTGTCTCCCCGGGGTCCTTGTTCATATCAAGGTACAATAATGTTGATTTCTTCTTGAGGAATTATATTTGGGCAGGTATAATCGAGCCCAATATAGGGCCAAGGAAGCAGTGTGGTGCTGCGCACAGGGTCGTAGTGGTAATGGGTGAAGTGGATTTTAGATACTGCCACTCGAGCGTACCCTTGAGTCTTAAGATCAACTTGAGATCGTTTTGTTGCCTCTCACAAATCATTCTGGATTTGTAGTGTATTATTACCTTGGATCACCTGGGGCTCGTGGGGTAGCCCGGTGTTGTCGTTGCAGCTCACGTTCCAGTCTGAGGAGGCCCGGCACATTCCGCCCCTTCCGCTTTCCTCCGAGGTGGGGGGGAGGGCTGTCTGGACTCTACAAGACGGCACTGTGGCGGAGTGGTTAACGCGACAGATTAGAATTTGCGTACCCCAACATTCAATGATCTGTTCCTCTTGTAGGGCGCATGTTCGAATCATGCCAGTGTCGATTCTCTTTACCTCTCGGTGTTTGTACTTTTCTTATCCGGTTCACCTCCCCGCAACGTTCTTTGAAGGGTTCAGAAGGACTGAATCCAATTTTGTTAACGATATCAATGGATCTGTGGTGTACTTTTGAGGTGTTCAATGTTTTATTTAAGAAGGGTGATGCTGGTTCGCATTGATCGGAATCGGGTGCCTGGACTTGTTGCCCTCTATGTTGCCAATCGACGGTTTCCCGCTCAATCCGTGCGCCTCGCCACGCCACAAGGACTGTCCAAGATACGGCTCCCCCTTGCCAATCTGACATCTCCGCGCTCCCGTCGTGTCTTCTACCCGGCTCCTCATTAGACGCGCACTCCTATGCACCTCTCATCGGGACATTCCTCCTCACCCCGTCCTCTTTCTCGTCCCCACTTATCCACTCGCTGACATGCTGTGCAGATCTCCTACGACATAATCTCGGGAAGCGACGTGTATCCGGTTTTTGTCCCTCCGCACTACATCCTCTACCGCGCGTTGCCCATCCCGCGGACGCCGGTGTCGCGCGCCTAAGTTGGGATCAATCTGCAGGATTCCAGCGCAGGCGCCGATCCTCCGAGAGCTTCGCAGACGACGTACTGGAGCTTCGCATGCGTCGCCGGAGCGCTACATCCACCGTGTTCTCCCTCCAGTGCAGCGGCGGGGTGGCTATGCGTGGATCACGCGCGCACTCGGAGAGGAGAAGACGGACGGCCTTGCAGTTTCCCGCCTTCATCAGCACCCACCTACCCCCCGCCGGCGCGCCCACCGTGATTCCGTTTCCTGCGCTTCGTGCGCGGGCATCGACTCGACGCTCAATGCCCCATATTGCACGGCTCTGGACGTCCCGAGACCGCGAGGGGCGCCGAAATTGTCCTGTTGCTCACAGGTCGGGTGGCTAGCGGCCCTGTGACGGCGTTCGGCAGTATGCGCGCGTCCCTCGTCCCCCGTCCCTCCGAGCTCCACCGGAGGGTTAGTCCACACTCGGGAACCGCGCACAGACTGGTGGGCGTCGGGACGGAATCGTTCTCGTGTTTCGTAGGCATCTCGACATTCATCATTGGTGGCGCGATCGAAGGGAAGCTGGAGTGTCTCTGCAGCGGGAGGGGGCGCTGGAGCTTCCGCCGCGTTGGTGATGTGCGACACTCTGCCGATAGCACACCCCAGTTCATGGTCATGAACTGAATCGTCCGGTCATTGGTACGTCTTCTCCTTGTCCATATTGAGATTTAGTTGCTCATTTTATGATAGAATATGTCGTTGATTGTGTCTCGGACCGTCAACCCGAGGGCGTCCGAACCCCGGACGCTCCCCTGCGCACTCGACCTACCACCCAAATTCACCTCTTCTGCCGCCACCGTGCTTTCCCCCGCAGAGGTCGCCTCTGCCACCGTTCTCGTCGCACTCGTCTGCGTCGCCCGTGCCCGCGCTGCGCCCGCCCCACCTCCCCATCGTCATCGAGGAATGGTCCTCGAGGGCGTCCTCCCCGGCGTGCTCGTCGTGTCGTCCAAGTACACGCACGAGAGCACCCTAAGAACGTCCTCTGGGCCCTCTGAGGGGCCGAGACCATCAGGGGCGGCGAGAGTGCCCTGTTGCTCGTACGTCGGGTGGTGCGCGGTCATACAGGGGGAGCTCGGGTTCATGCGCGTCCTTCGTCCCCTCCGAACTCAGGGTTGGTCCTCGAACCGGCGAAGCGTACCGCGAGCAGACTACAGGTTCGGTCGAAGGGGTGAATATGGGACGCTACGGGAGCGGGATGCTGGCGCGTGGGTGACCCGTCTGCTCGCTGGCATCGCGACGCGCGGAGGGCTCGCCATCGCCCCTCTCCCCTGTCCTCCGGGAGGACGATCCTGGGGCCGGCGGCATCCTGCTCCCGCATGCTCTCTCCCACCATTCGCTCCTCGCTCCTCCGCCGTCGTGTATCCCGTTCCAGCCGCCCGCTGCTGTGGGGACCCTCCGCCTGCTTCTGGCAGTACTCGCCGATCGCTGTGTCCGCCCTCGGGCAAAGCTGGGGCCGGCGGCATCCTGCTCCCGCATGCTCCGCTCCCCCACCATTCGCTCCTCGCTCCTCCGCCGTCGTGCATCCCGTTCCGGCCGCTCGCTGCTGTGTGGACCCGCCGCCTGCTGCTGGTAGTACTCGCCTTCAAGATGCGACCATGCTCGAAGGGCGTGCTGCCTCCCGTCCGCTGGTGTGCGGCGGGATTCGCGTCCGCGCGCGTGCCAGTACGGGAGCGGAGTGAGAGATTCGTGTATCTCTGCGCGGCGTGTGGTGCGCGCGGAGGGAACGGAAATTCGTCGGGGATAGTACCGCCATCCCCTATTTCGTCCGCTGTCCTCTGGGAGCAGGATGCCTCGACGTGAATCCCGACGCGCCGTCCTCGGGTGCGGACGCCGCCAGCCCCCTCTCCTCAGCCTCAAGTCCACCCCATCATTCGCCTCTCGTCCCCGCGCATCCTGTGTCTCGTGACGGGTTTCGCCTATGCACTGCGGGTGCGGGAGCGGAGTTGGGGTTCCGTATATCTGTGCGCGGCGCCCGTAGGTGGACTGACTGTTCGGCCCCTGCGTTCTCCCGTGCCTCGGCCTCCATTTCCCCTCATCACTTTCACCCATTCGCGCATTCACGCCTTCATGGTGCATACCCATCCATACCTTCAGATCATTGCCAAAGGCGAAGCATTTATCGTTCGCCGTGGACCTGGCCATATTGTCATCGTCTCGGCGGCGCCCTTCCCGTCGCAGGTTCTTCTTGACGAGGCGAAGAATCCTCTGTACGGGACGTGCTCCCGGTGCGCTGCGCATTGAAAAATTGATGTTGTACGTGCCCGTGGAGTTCTTCGTCTTACGGATGTTTCTCTCATTAAACTGCTACGTATCCGACCTGTTGTACCCTTTATCAATAGCATACAGATGAAGACATGATGAACTGACCCGAGTATTGAGTGAATTGCTTGGAGACCATGTATTTTCATATACCTGATGCAACGCGGTCACCTGACATCTCCAAACCGCGAAAATCCAAATTAAGGAATTTCTACTGTCCGCGTTTCTCGCGATCTTCTGATCGTCAATGATGTATTTCTTGTTGGCGGCTCGTGGGTAGAATCAAGGTACAATATTGTCCACTTCAACGTGGATTTCACTAGACTGCTACGTCATTTTCCATGCCTTCCTCAGCGTTAATGTTCAGCTCAGAATATTAAATACTAATTCTGGATCATTTAGAATTTCAATGACAAATGCAACGAGAAAAATAAATACATTGCATAGTTTTGACCGCTTGATTAGCCGTTAAACATCGGATTGGAAGAGAGAGGACAGCAGCTGGCTGGCACGCATGATGATGGAGCAAGGCCACAGCAGGCATCAAACGTAGTTGCGAGACATTGCGTAGTCTCTGGTCTTGATGCTCAATGTATCTTGCGGGGGGACTTGATTCTACCAGTGAGAATGACCATTCAGCACTTATTAAGGAAGCGAGGAGTCGAAGATATCTTCTTGATTGTGCGAGATCTTGTGCGTGGCGTATGTTGCGGGGTGCTTGAGGAAGGCGGTTCATCACCTTGGATAGTGGGATGATGGTGGGAGGAAGCAAACGATCCTCGAAGCAAAGTGCAGTAACGTTAGAGGGACCTGCCTTCGGAGCGTGCCTTGAGCGCGCGATTGTGGGCCTGGTGATCATTCTAAATGAACCGGCACATTGTAAAGTGAAGAGCTAAACGGGAATTGAAGCTGTTGTCTTGGAATAGATGTGAGAAAAATGGACCGAGTTGGGTGGGCTCAGAGCAAGGATGAGAAAGATCTAGAGAGGGCAAATTGAGGTGATGGCATACGGATATGAGGCATCTGCTTAATACACGAGGTTGACACGAGGTATCTCGCCGTAAGCTCCGGCCAAATGATCCAATTTTGCACGGCGCCTTGCGTGGATGAATTTCAGCCTGCGCTTCGAAGCAACCCTCGATCGCTGAGCTGTGAGTTGGTCTTCCATTCTTCATCATGGCACATGCCATGAAAATCCAAATGCTCGTGTGAAGACAGTCAACCTCGAGGCTTGGGAATATATAAATGCTGGGATGCAGAACATCGTTCTCTCAATTGAGTTCTTTCCTATATACCTGACTCACACGTAGGCATACTCCCACCGGTACATTGGTTGCATCTCATTGGAAGCCTTGCGACCCTTGAACAACAGAATTCCCCGTGGCTTTCTACGGCTTCAACATGGTCTTTACAGTTCCTCGTCCGCAGCGATACGTTTTTGAACATGTATGATATGACAGGGCGGTCAGTTTGACTTCGAGTCGTCCCTTTTCCATACAAATGGTCCTCTGAGCTGGAGCAGCATCGACAACGTACGCCCATCACTCTCTCGATGCCAGATATTTTGAGAATGCTCATACGTTATAGACAGCTCGATATGGGGTCAACCCTATTCTCTCGACGCGACAACTCAAAGTTTGCACATTTCTCCCGACAAGAAGCAGTATTTCTAACAACAACAACGCATTGACAGATTGTCCCATTCGGCATCAGCTCGAATCCACCCTTTGGAAACGGCCCCCTCAGCATGGTTTGCAAATACATCTTACTCAAGGCACTATGATCTGACAATATTTATCCAATGTAGCGGACTAAGCCCTTCCATGAAACTTCCACCCATTCGCAGGGTTTGAAAAGGTTAGCAGAGGAACATATGGGACTGCACCTCAATGACTTGCGTATAGGCAACCGATTTCATCAAGGACTTCGAGGGTTTTGTGGCGTGTCCTGCACCGGACCCAATTGGACTCCCCACTGTCGGATACGGGCACTTGTGCAAGTCCAATGAGTGCTCTGAGGTCCCCTTCAGCTTCCCTCTCTCACCAGACACCGCCTCACAGCTCCTCGAGCAGGACCTCAAGCCGTTTGTCTCTTGCGTCCACAAGGCTGTGAGCGACTCCATCGCTTTGACGGACAACCAGGTCGTTGCCTTGTTGTCTCTCGCGTATA